ATAAGCACCACGACCAGTCATTTTTTGCCAAGTGTGGTTTCTGCAGGAGATTGAAAGGAAGTGCATTTAAAAGTCTACATCCTGGCGAGTCCGAAATATTGCTAGATTATGCCGCACGATAATCAAACTTAAAACCCCACCTAGGTTGTCGAAAGCGCATTTCAGAATTTCGGCCAACAGTTCATGGGATCGGTCACTCATTGTATGTGCAGGTCTTCATGTTGTTAGGGGTGTTTCAACACGCCCTAATGCTCGCCAACCAAGCTATGCTGAAATGGCGTCGGGTTAGCTTCAGTCGTCCAGCATCTCTCAGATATGGCCGTATGCAAAATTCCGCGATCGGGGGGCGGGAAGTTTCCATTGAAGTTGTAGTTATTGCTGGAGTTGGGTTTAGAGCTAGGGTTTGGACTAGGAGGCCAAGGGTTGGCGTTAGGGTTTGGCCCTAACTTGGGACACTGAAATCAGTACCCTCCTGGGATTTACTCCAAGGCCAGTTGTACTACGGGGCCAACTGACTACTGCTTCCACCCTTCGCTTGACTGTGACTTGTTACTACGACTACTGCCTTTGCGGCTGCTACTTATTAGTTGTAATGACCATAATAAAAGTGACGCCGATAGTGGACGACTCCCTACCCAAGGGCTGGTCAATAGATCTCTGTCATTCTGTTTTTTCAGACGGGGAACTCCACTTTTTCTGGATGAAGTCGCCTACTGGAATTTGACTGGAACCTGGCTGAAGCACGAGGCTGCCCAATCTATCCCGGAGTAGAACCCCAGGCCTCCCGTTGGACGTGAATTTCGAGATGATGCATTTTGTTATTGTACTATTCACCATGCACGCCCCCGCTTCCTGTCCCTCCCGGCTAGATTTCAGCAGCTCCTAAATATCTGTTTCCTGTTCTTCTCCCGCCTTCTAGAACAAGCTTATGTTTTCTTTTACAGCGCCTTCCCTGCCCGCGTCGTTGTTTCCAAACCGAACTTGCAAGTTGTTGACTCCCGGTGATACATTTACAAAAGCGCGAAAATATAATGGCCCACCCAGTATATGTCTGATTCTCTTGTGTGACGGTTCTCCTGAGAGACAGTGAAAAAGGGAGGGGAGTGAGTCAGAACTCTCGAAACGTTACGGTCGCAACCACCAAAGTGAAATCACATTCAGCTGTATAAACGGGCAATTGAGGCGATAACTTCATCTTCCCAAGGACGCGCAACTGTTATAAGTAGATGGTATCCTTAACTAAAACGAATTAGTGAAGGGGAACCTTCTGTTTCATTTCGCCAAGTATTCCGCTGCATGTGTTTAGGGCAGAACGATATCCACAAGTAGAGGGAGAACGAAAAGTGACAAGATGGATTCGAAAGTGCCTACCTCCAACCGCCCCTTGGGGGTGTCCATCGAATCTCGTACTAAATCACTGATTATCCCTCGTAGTTTTCACTTGACTCAGCAGTTTCGGCGAAAAGATTATCCCGGTCGTCCTGTCAGGTCTGTGTTACCAATGCCGACGTCTCCCTTTTCCACCAGTCAGTGGTTTAGTTCGCGGTTATGTCACAGCCCGCTTGCTTGGACACGGCGAACAGCAGATTCACCCTGCACCGATGTATGACTGCCTTCAGCCATTTGACGTTATCACCAACCTGCCCGAGTTTTTTTGCGGTGCTCCCTCATCGAGTTCCTTGGACATACTGGTCGAGCCAACGAACATCCTTTGTTTCTCACCTCAAGGTCGCTCTTATGCTTGGCTTCCCGCCCCCTATTCTTCGGTTTTGTCTATTCTGGAGTTCGGCTTAGTCTACGTGCTAAGCATTTCCTAGACTCGCATTTATCCACTTTTGTTCAAGTTGGTGTTTATGTAACGGTTACGCGCACAGTCCAACTAGCCTTAGTTTCGGTTTGACTAACTGGCCTTTAGTTTCGGTTTGACTAACTGGCCCTTCACCCATTGCCTTTGTTCTTATCTGGGCGGGGTTGACAGTTAAGCCCGTTCTGGCGGGGCCGTTTTGCTTGGTTTTTCTCAACTACGTCTTAGAGTGGGAGTGAGTCATCGATTGTCTTGTCGGCTAAAGTGGTTACCCCTGGACGAGGACGCGCGTCGCCTTCTCACGCGTTTTTGCTCGCCGACAATAGCCAGCCAACCATTGTGAAGTGCCGTATTGGTTCTTTCCTCGCGTGTACTTTCACTCCAATCTTGTCACAGTCCTGTGGTTACGGACGCTCCTGCTAGTGGGGGCGATTATATTAGCGCAGTAACACTGTCGCTACCAGACGTCTGGTCGAATGCACCCGAACTCTACTTTCTTCACACTGAGTTGAGATTTTACTCTGCGAACATTCCCCAATAAGTTACCAAATTCCACAGATTGGTTCAGGCTTTGCCGTTACAGGTTCTTTCTCAGGTACAATCATTGATCCAGAGTCCCCCAGCCGACCAGCCATGTACGCAGCTTAAGGCAGCACTCCTTGGACTTCATGCTGTGTCTGATCGCCAGCGGTATCACCAGCTATTTGGCGAGGAGTGTTTGGGTGACCGAAAACCCACCGAACTTCTTAGGAGGATGCAAGAACTTCGCCGTGAGCTGCAAATCAGCGACAAACTTTTTAAGGAAATGTTCCTGGAGCGTCTGCCAGCCGATGTGCAAACCATTCTGCCATCTGCATCAGAACATCTCTCGGTCTCACGGCTAGCCGAGATGGCGGAAATGATGTTGAGGGTGCAGCGGTTCCAACCGCCTGCTGTAGTCCGAATCTCAATCTCCTCGGTACTGACGCCAAGTGAGCAGATTGCGATGCAGATGGCTGCCATGGCAGAAGAGATGGCGTTTCTGAAACGCCAGCCTGTACGCCTTACCTTAAGACACTCATCTAGCCGGCGTCGTTCCCGTTCTCGACCTTGAACAGCGAAGTTTGTTGGTATCATACCAATTTCGGTACGAAGCCCCTTTGCTGTTCCTCGCCCTGCTCTTTTAAGTCGAAACAGGGAAACCAGTCAGCCAGGGAATAGAGGCGACCGTTTTCTCTGGCCCTTCCGGCTATAGTCGCACCTTTTATATGTGCTGCAATATGACTCGCAGACGTTGGATTGTGGACACTGAAGCCCAAATCAGCATTGTTCCCTCAACTTCAGCCGATCATCGTTTCCCCAGCCCTGGTCGTCACCTCAAAGTCACCAACTGTTCCCCCATTCTAACTTTAGACAGTCAGTCCCTCACCCTGAACATTGGCCTTCGTCGGTCTTTTTCCTGGATCGTTGTGATTGCTGATGTTCCTCCCGAAATCCTCGACTCGGACTTTCTGGCTGAATTAGATCTTCTTGTCGACTGCCGACGATCGCGACTCCTCGACCGCATCACTGGTCTTTCTGTGCGTGGCTTAACTCCCTTCACTACCTCCTGCAATTTATCTGTCCGGGATATAGGTATTGCTTGTCCCTATAGGGAGCTGCTGCTTGAAAACCCAAACATCACCAACCCACGGATGCAGAGTGGCGAGGTCCAGCACGATTTTGAGCATCACATCCGCACCGCAGGTCCGTCTGTGTTCGCTAAACCGAGACGACTATCACCGGGCCATTTTCAAGTCGTGAAGGCGGAGTTCGAACATATGCTGCAACTTGGAATAATTCGACCGTCCGAGAGTTCCTGGGCATCCCCCTGCACATGGTATCAAGGCGACATCAGGCGACTGGAGACCCTATAGAATACGTTTATTGTAGCGCCCCTTGGGCGCTGTCAGTCCCCTTTGAACTCAGGAAAAAAAACCTAAAACAAACTCGTCAATTTCAACTGCACTTTGACTTCATTTGCTTCGGGTGTCTGGTTAGCCAAAAGAGCGCAAATTGAGAGTTTGTTTTAAGTTAAATAAACCTCAGTTCTTAGGGAAAATAATAACAAAATTTTCAAAAAATAACGATATGTACAGTACAAAAATTGAAGTTTGTAGTTTGGTAGTTTTCGGGGGCATGAATAATATGTCCTTCATGGCAATTGANTAGTTTTCATTTTAAATTTGATTAGGGTTCGACTTTTCCGGATAGAACTTGGAAGAGAATTCCAGATAGTCGCATATCTTATGGTGTAGAAATTTGACCGTTGGGACTTTGTGAATTTGGGAATCCTTATAATATCCTCGCTATTTCTAGTGTTTCCAGGGGCGTTTTGGTTGGTAAGTAAATTCATTTTGAGAATATCTTGATCGTGGGTGACCTTGAATAGGAAGTTTAGACCATTTTGAAGTCTTCTGATCCAGAGTGGTCGAAGACCGTATTTATGATATAGTTCTAAGTATGAACCCTGGATGCCATCACTTCTAGACAAAGATCTGGTAAAACGTCTCTGAATGCCTTCTAGTTTCTTTCGGCCGTCTGAGGGCATTATGCCGAAGAAAATTGAACAGTAGTCTAGGAGAGGTAAAACATACATTTTGAACAGTTGTATTCTTAGTGTATTTAAGGTGAAATTTTTACATATGAATTCACAGAGGCGAGTGGCTTTCGGTGATATTCGTTGGACTATGGTGGCTATCGTTCCGTCAACAATGCCACAATTCCCTATATGTATCCCGTGCCTCATTTTCAGGCTTTTGATGGAGCTGTTTTTGGCAAAGCTGTTTTCTCGAAGATTGATCTGGTGCGCGCTTTTCATCAGATTACAGTCGCCCCTGAGTACATCCCTTATACTGCCCGCACCACACCCTTTGGCCTCTTCTGGTTCATCCGCATGCTATTCGGACTTCATAATGCCGCCCAAACATCTCTGAGGTTCGTCGACAATGTTCTACGTGTCTTAACCTCTGTGTACGCCTATATTGATGACCTTTTGGCGTCCAGCCGGAGTAAGGAAGAACATAAAGGTCATCTTGCCTTGGTGTTTGACCGCCTTGATAAGCTTGGCGTTGTCATTTACCGCTCCAAGTGCGTGTTGGGTGTGCCTTCGCCCGAGTTCCTCGGCCATTAGGTGGACTCTGACGTTTTGCGTTCCCTCCACTCCAAGGTTGAAGCAATGCGGAATTTCCCTCCACCAACTTCCAAGCGTCAGTTGCAGCGATTCATAGGCATGGCCAAATTTTATCGCCGGTTCCTACCAAACTGTGCTGACCTAATGCTGTCGCTCGCCAACACGCTTTCTAGTTTCAAAGGCCGCCTCGACCTCACTGGGGAAGCAGTGACTGCTTTTGAGAGAATTAAGAATTCCCTTGCCGACGCCAACTTACTCACGCATCCCGCTCTCGAAGCTCAGTTGTTTCTGATGGTAGCTGCTTCGACCGAAGCCGTAGGTGTGGTCCTTCAAAAAAACCTTGTTGGTTCGACTCGGCGACTTGCCTTTTTCTCCAAAAAACTCTTGCCGGCTAAGACCCGCTACAGTATCTTTGGCCGTGAGCTACTTGCCATTCAACTGGCCGAGAAGCATTTCCCACATCTCCTTAAAGGTCGGGACTTCACCGTCTTCACGGACCACGAGCCGCTGACTTTTGCTTTTCATCCCCACTCCGACAAGTACAATTCGAGAGAGATCGCCCACCTGGACTGCATCTCCCAGTTCAACACCGACATCCACCAAATCGTTGACACGAAGAATGAGGTGCCTGCTATGTTGTCCAGGCCCGCACTATTTTCCCTCCAACTGTCACACGGGATCAACCTTGGCGTCATGGCGGCTGAGCAACAAAAAGTCGGTTTTCCTGGTGACGAGTCCGTTAGTGGTCTCCAACTTAATGACGGTCTTCTGACCATCGGCTCTGGTACCATACTTTGTGACGTCTCGACTCCTTTTCATCGCCCTTTATTGGTTGCCGCAATGCGTCGAGCCGCGTTTCAAACTCTGCATGCACTCTCCCTCCCTGGGATCCGAGCCTTTCAAAAGATCCTCGCAGAAAGTTTTGTCTGGCCTGGCATGACCAAGGACGTCAAAGCTTGGTCCCGGACGTGTCTGAGTTGCCAGCGCAACAATGTGCAACGTCAAGACAAGTCCCAATTAGGCACCTTTCCCAGCCTCGAGGCACGGTTCAGTCATGTGCACTTGGATGTTGTAGGCTCCTTGCCTCCTTCCAAATGGCTATACTCACCTTCCTACCTGCCTTGATCGTGTGCACCTGCTGGGCTGAAGCCATTCATTTGCAGAATGTGCAGGCTGAAACCATTGTGAAGACTTTCGTCAGTCGTTGGGTCGCCATGTTTGGTGCCCTCTCCACGGTTACGGCTGATCGTGGTGTCCAATTTGAGTCCGCACTCTTCCAAACGCCCCTTAATCTTCTCGACTGCACAAGCATTGGGACGACAGCCTACCACCCAGCTGTCAACGGTATGGTTGAGCGTTTCCATAGTCAGTGCTCGCTTTCCCCGGTTCCGTCCCGAATTCCAACGACCGAGTCTTATTTCGAAAAAGGCTTAGACAAATGCACTCATATGTTCGTTCGATGTGACCGGGTGCGCCAGCCGCTGGAATCACCATACGAAGGACAGTTCCGTGTGCTCGCAAGCAACGTCATGACCTGCCGGATCCTTCGCGGTGAGAAGAAGGATGTGGTCAGTGTCGAATGGGTCAAGGCTGCTCTCAGAGGAGCCGTCGAACCCACCTCAATGACAAAACTGTTCTGACCCCCTACCCCGTGATCCTCCGCCTTCCCTACCCCATGCTCCTCCACCTTTCCGACCCACTCCTATCCCACTTCCCTCCACCGCCTCCGACTCTAACTCTTCCGATGCCACTGGCATTCGCACCACTCGTAGTGGCCGTCGCGTCCACTTTCCCGAATGCCTTATCACTCATGTGTATTAACATTGCATTTGCTTTCCGCGTTGTTTTTACGCCGGCCTGCGGTCTAGGCGGGAGTATTGTGGTAGCCCTTTGTCATTTTTTCGTTCATATGCTGCCGTTTATAGTTATTCTACTTGCTAAGCATTTCCTAAACTCGCATTTATCCACTTTTGTCTAAGTTGGTGTTTATGTAACGGTTACGCGCACAGTCTAAGTAGCGTTAGTTTCGGTTTGGCTAACTGACTTTTCACCCATTGCCGTTCTTCTTCTCTGGGTGGCGTTGACAGTAAGTCCGTTCTGGCGCGGCCGTTTTGCTTGGTTTTTCTCAACTAAATCTTAGCGTGGGAATGAGTCATGGATTGTCTTGCCGCCAAAGGCCAGTCTCAAATGTTAAGTGTTAAGCATAGAATTGATTTAATAATTATGTCTTCCTGATTCCTCTATATTGAAGGTATTGTTGGAAATACCTTGAGCATGGGATCTAGAAGGATTCACACCGCTAATAGCTATAGCTATTAGCGGCGTTAATCCTTCTAGAGGCTTGTGCACAAGCCTCTTTTTCGAAGATACTTCAAATTTCAGCGGTTCTTAAATGAACCGAAAACGAGCCTATGGAAGGATCTTTAAGCTGCTTCCGTAGCTTTTTAAGTCCTTTTATTAAGAAAATGTGAGACAATGGATGAAGTGACATTCCATTTAAACGTCTATAGTGGAATGAGATTGAGAAAACCTCTTGTTACGCATTGTAATAAATCGCAGAAATAATTTTGATCATTTATTAAATATGTATTTTGTCGGTCGAGAGTGTTTGTTAAGTTATTTGCTAATTCCTTGTGGCATTAGCATAGTCAAAAAGGCTACCTTTTACTGTTGGCCTTGCGAAAGTGGCAACTGGAAGATGACAGTGAATTATTGCATGATCACTTGGAGCAAGGTCACGAAGTAGAGAAGTAACCTCTTGCGCCTGACGTATCTGAGTTTCAGTGTCTGGAACAACGGCCGGAAAAACGCTAAAAAATCTTGTTTACAAACTCTCCAGACCGCTTTCACGTATCTTTCGCCTGTTCTCTGATCAAAAATTCTTGGGTCTGATCGGGAAGTGGTGAGAGTGTATCTTGTTCACAAGGTTGGATTCAAAACAAATGCTCGAAACTATCGGTCTGTGAACTTTATGCGCATTCTTTTCAAGGATATTCACAAAGCTCCGATGATGTTCTTCGAGAAAAATACTTTGGCAGTATCCAACACGGCTTTCGTACAAACCACTTCTGTTTAGTTAACATGTTCTATTCAATGAAACAGTGGTCCAGGCAGTTTGATGAAAACGCATGCGTCGATGTCGTTTAAATCGACTCAACCAAAGTTTCGATAGCGTTCCACACCGATGGCTACTGTATATGATTCGAGAATCTGGAAGAAGTGAGAATCTGGTGAATCGGTTAGGGAACGTTTTTATCAGACGATTGCTGTCTGCGTTCATCGACGGTGTGAAATAAATGTAAATACTCGTTGTAGGTAGTTTGCCCCAGAGCTCTGTTCTCGGGATAGTACTGTTTCTAATCGGTGTGAATGACTCTATGAATTGACTGGACTTCAGCAGAGTCATATTTTTGACAAAAGTAAAATATGGCAAGCGACCAAATGCAATAATGTTGTAAGGCTTTTGCAAGAAAGATCTGACAATTTTATTATTCGAAGATTTTGATACATGTAGCATCAGTTATCATCTAAGTTTGGGATTTGTTTTCTATTGTGCCCGAGCTCCTAGGTCATGGGAAAATTATGTCTAAATCCCGTACTTGAAACACCGACTGATGCTCAAGTTACTATCAGTAGACTAGATCTCTCAAGGATCTTGCGTTTACAGAACTTTATCAAGAGACATAAACATTAAGTTGTGACTCTCGGATCACTATTAAACTCAAATACATAGAGAAAAGGCCTAAAAGCGTGCCAACAGATGTGCGTATTTCGAAATGTGGTTCCAGATTTTCAATAGCCGAGCGTGGCTGTGCCACACTAAGCAATCCTAAATCAGAAGAAGACGGCAACCGGGATATCCGTAATAAAGTTTCTGCACGTAAGAATAGACCTCAAGGCCCTTAAGTTGATTTCAGAAAATGCATTGTTATAAAGGGTGTGCCTGAATCTCTTTACGACATCCCAGAAGAACAGAATACGTCATTGTCCTGCTGTACACTCGTCAGTGGGCAGTGGGTATTGGTGAGTTGCAGAAGCACACTCTTCAACAACCCTCACTCATTATTGGCATTTCCTGTGAACATTGAGCTCCGGTCAAGACGTGATAGATAGATACGCCCTCATATGATTGATGCCGTGTTGCCAAATGTTACGTCTTTTTGGTAAAGAGCATGCAAAACGAAGAATAACGAATAATTCCACAAAAGTACAACACGATCGCACGGTCGAACGGCGGTATGGAGATGACCTCGTCTATGATGTCTGACGTTCTCGCGAAACCTAAAGTAGGCAGTGGGCCCTTTGTCCTTCACGTGTTCTCGTCGGGGTTATTGCATATGTGAGAAGCATCTTGTATGTTTTGTGCAGTAAACGGCTGTCGAACGTCGATTTCAGAAATGACGCTTGAATAGTGTTGCACTTAATTTCTGGTGCGTTGAAGTCGCACATAATCATGATATTAGGTTGGCTAGGGTTTCGAAGATGGGCCTTAGGGCATGCCAGGGGAAAGGTGGAAATGTAGGAAAGCAGCGGAAGTAGAAGGAAAGCAGCGGAGGTAGTTTAACGGATGTGAAACTTGAATGTGTGACATAAAAATTAAAAGGTATATGTAGAACTGTTTGCGGAAGCCTCTTGAGTGCTCGGCACGTGAAGAAAATGCATCGGAAATCTGTTCTGTAATGGGAAGTGTGGGCGTATTTCGAAGGTCGCTCGCAAAATGCCCGAAGAAAATGATGGACGAATGAGACAAGGGCACGTAAAGAGAGAGAGAGAGGAATTCGCTTTATTTTGAAATCAAAAATTCAAAATGTTCAGCAAACATTGGCCCCTTTCACTATGGGCAGTAAATAAGTTATTGGATTACTAAAGAGCCGACATTTTTAACACAATAGGGACAATTATTAGGGGGACAGTTCAAGCCTTCGCTTCTGTATTTCTGTCTCTTCACACGTAAGATAACGCGCTAGGAATGGAAATACAGAAGCTTGAAAAGCCGACGTGCGACAAGACATATGTCGGAAACTGCGTCGCATCGGGCGAGAAGACTTCGCAGAAATAAGATCAGAATGCAAGGGATGGGTAACGTCATCTATAATCCGACCAGCAAATTGCTTGCCCGAACTGAAGTGTCGTTATAGGATAGTGTCGACTAAAAAAACTAACAAACACCAGTGGCAGAAGAGAGCATTTGGAGGACTCATTTTCAAATTAAAAGATCTTTTGTATGCAAAGAAGTAAAAATGACAGGCGAGCAGTATAGGATAAGCTGAAGGATGCAGGCATCGATGAATCGCCAGACTAAGGGCTGAGGTGTGTGGTAGGAACATAAGAATAGAATAGAACAGGTTTATTGTAGCGCCCCTTGGGCGCTGTCAGTCCCCTTTGAACTCAGGAAAAAAAACCTAAAACAAACTCGTCAATCTCAACTGCACTTTGACTTCATTTGCTTCGGGTGTCTGGTTAGCCAAAAGAGCGCAAATTGAGAGTTCGTTTTAAGTTAAATAAACCTCAGTTCTTAGGGAAAATAATAACAAAATTTTCAAAAAATAACGATATGTACAGTACAAAAATTGAAGTTTGTAGTTTGGTAGTTTTCGGGGGCATGAATAATATGTCCTTCATGGCAATTGA